CTCTGGCAAGAAATTAATGTGCAGAATATGCAAGGAACTCAAAAAACTTAACAGCAAAAAACCCCCAAATAATCCAATTTAAAATGGACAAAGGAGCTGAATAGATTCGTCTCAAAGGAAGACTTGCAGACGGCCAACAGACACATGAAAAAATGCTCAACATCACTAAGCATCAGGGAAATGCAAATCTAAACCACACGGAGATATCATCTCACCCCAGTTAGACTGGCTACTATCAAAAAGACAGAGAATAACAAATACTGGTGAGGATGTGAGCAAAGGGGAACTCTCCTACACTGTTGGCAGGACTGTAAATTAATACAGCCCATGGAAAATAATATGGAGGTTTCTTAAACAACTACAGAGAGAACTGCCAATCCCACTACAGATAGATACAGCAATCCCACTGGTGGGTATATACCCAAAGGAATGGAAATCATCATGTCAAGGAGATACCTGCACTCCTATGTTTATTGCAACTCTGTTTGCAAGAGGCAAGATATAGAATCAACCTAAATGTCCATTGATGGATGACTGGATAAGGAAAATGTGGTATATATGCACAATGGAATACTACTCTGTCATAAAAAAGAATGAAATTCTGCCATTTGCAGCAACATGGATGAACTTGGAGAAAATTATGTTAAGTGAAATAAGCCATGCACAAAAAGAGAAATACCATACTCACAAATGGGACCTAAAAAATAAATAAAAGAAGAAAGGAAGGAAGGGAAGAAAGAAAGAATTACAATAATACTTTGAACTTTCAGAAGGAGAGAAAACTATGGTTGCTAGAGTTGGGAAAGGAGGAGGGGGGGTTTAGGGAGAAATTGGATAATGGACACAAAGAATAATTTTGTAATGATGAATATGCTAATAATACTGGTTTGATCATCATATAATTTTACACAAATATGGAGAGTCAACTCTGTACCCCACAAATATGTATAATCAATTATGTTTTGATAAAAAAAGAAAAAGAGAAAGTGCCAGAATATTTGCTGGAACTTATTAGCTATAATAAAGATGGTAGGTATAAGATAAAACCTAAAGATTTTGAAAAATGATCAGAGAAATTAAAATACATAAGTAAATCCAATGTCATCCAGAGAGTTTAATTTTGTGAAGAACACTTCATAATCCAAGATTGGCAAGACACGATAACAGAAATTTCTTGATGGTTTTGGCTACTTTTTTTTAAAAATAAAATTCTGTGAGAACTTGATTAAAAAAGACAGTCCTCTAAGATTAGCCAAATTTGTGAGTTAGTGAGTATAACTGTTAGGTGTCAATTCTGTTAAGTAAGAGAAAATGGAAAGCACCATTTTACTTGAGATTTGTGTTCTCTCTGTAAGCAATGTAGTCATCCTTGTGGTTACTAAGTGGGCATGCACTCTCAGTGTAGCAAATAACCTTCCATATTTTAACCCTTCAGTATAGGCCAGGGTAGGGGTGGGTGAAAAGTTTTATGAAATTCAGTAGTGCTGATAGGTTGAAGATGAAGATAGCACATGGCTATAGAATTAAGGCTAGGAAGTTTCATGTCCTGGTCAGCAGGTACATTATGAAATAAAGGGATGTTTTTTATGTACCTCCTAATTTGCCACCACTTCAGTGTCATGAAGAGTCATTATAGCACTCCTCAGAATAAGATTGTTTGATGGTACAGCTTCAGTCTTTGAGCTGACCTTATATGGCATTTTATGTTCTTATGAATAGGAGATACCGTTAGAGGAGGTGGTGATTTTAAATTTGATAGCTGGGGAACCAAATTAGATAAATCTGAAACTTCATACTTAAAGATGACATCGTCATTAGTATGAATGAGTAGATGTATAATGGAAGTATTGTACAGTTGTGTATATTTATGGAAGCAAAGGAAGAGGAGGGGGAGTCAGGCAGAGGGAGGTGGTATTTACAGAGTTATTCACACGAATATTGAAATCATCCATAATAAGAATTGGGCACTAAAAGAAGAAAGGGATGTCAGATAATCAGATTGTATAGGTTCAAATATGGAGAACAGGCATAAAACAGGGAAAAGGAATATCTCAATCTTGCAGAGTATGGTAATGGGACAAAAAGTCCCTCCCATGTTATAAATTACTGCCTTTTGATTCAAGGAGAATTTTGCCATGATTTCATATTTCTGCAGTGTAACAAAGACATTGTTAATGTGATTTCAAATTCTATCTTTTAAACATTCAATAATTGGGGAGGTTATGTCCAATAATGCTTTTATGTTACCTAATCGGCAACTTGTTAACACTTTTATTTAATATCAGTGAAGAAAAAATTAAAATTAAATGGCTGCTATAAAATGTGATTAGCGATTCAAGTGACAATAATGGAATGTCTCATCTGGGTTTATGCATATCTGTCTCCAGGCCTCCTCTTCACCAATATGTCCCTTCCTACTTTCTGTCAGCCAGTCTTTAGTGCATTTAAATGGCTGCATGTAAATGGCAAGCAGACAATGCTTAGAAATCCTTTTCTGCCTGAAACCATGGCTTCCCCCATCTTTGACATAGATGCAGACAGTAAACTGTACAGTGCTCTTCTGGTTATTACATGTATGTATGATGTTTTTCCCAGTACTATAGTACATTATTTAACAACAGGAACTTTCTTCTTGAAATCTTTCTCCCTTCCCCCGGGTACAGAGATGTATGCAGAATGTTCCATAGGTAATCGATAAATAATTTGATGAGTGGAAAATCAATTAAATGAATAAATCACGTGGACTCTTCAGAAGAGGGCAATTGTGTGTGTTAGGTTTTCATTTCAAATGTACTAACTGAAAGTGTTATAGTTTATTTTAATATTTAAAAATACATTTTATATTTTTCCTGGATATATTTTCATAATAGCAAATATGTGAGTAGTTTGAAATATTCAACACTTTCCTCAAGGGTACATCTCTGCTGCCTTTGTTTTCCGTGTTATTCCTTCAGTTATACCAAATTAAGCAATATCTCATGGCATATAATTTATTTTATAAGTGGTTTAAATAAAGTGCATCATTTCAATTCCTAGAAAACAAGCTTAAAGATTGTAACAAATAAAACAAATGCAACAATAAAATGCATAGATGTAAAGTTGTATTACTAGATAATAATTACCTTCTGTTATCAGTATATTGTTATTATTCTAATCATATTTAGTTTCCTTGCCTTTAAGTTGAACTATGTTAGGGGTGTAACCATTTTGAATGTACTTTTTTACTGTAGGTTCTAAACTTTTCTTTATACTCAGTTTGTGATTATCCACACGGGGATCTGGTCCTGTCCAGTGGCCATGTATAATTTCTCTTTCTTCTCTTTCACACCAGCATGTAAGCTGGCTCACACCTTCCATCAGTAAACAGCCTCTCTTCTCCCTACGTCCCCTTCTGGCTCTTTTTTCTGTTTTGTTTTTCCTTCACAGCCAATTTCTCGAAACAACAATGTATGCTGAAAATGTCCACTTTGTAGAAATCTGGCTCTTCATTCCCAATGCTCCCATTTCCCTTAGAGGAAATTCTGGCAGTAACCACTTAATTGCCAACATCCAGTGGTCTTTTCTTCTCCCATCTTTTGATTTTGTGGTCAACTCTCTTCTTGGAGAAAATATCTCTTCTTGGACTCTTGTAACACCTATCTTTGGGTATTCTTCTGCCTTTCTTTCAGTTGTCCTATATTGCTCCTTTTTAAAAAAAATTTTTTTTTGCTCCTACTCCTTTGACTTTTGATGTACTTCAGAAATCTGCTCTTGGGATTTTTCTGTTCTTGCTCTGTGCTCTGTCTGTACTGGCTCATCTAAGCCCAGGGCTTAAAGGGTCTCCTGTGGGGACACTCTTCTCCACAGGGTCTGCTACTGCCTAGTTTGGGCTCACATGATCTCCTGGCCAGAAAGTTGCAAGGTATCCTGATCATTCCCTCTCCTCCACTTCCCTGGTAATCATATGAGTATACTCTTCATTGAATAAGAGAGATCTTCCCTAAAGTGCATTAAAATCATGCCTCCGCTTATCATCCTTTAAAATTCCCCATTGTCTGAATATAAAGGCCAAATTCCGTGGATGAGATTTAAAGGAATTCCGCTGTCTGATTGTGACTGAACTCTCCAGCCTCGTTATTTACCTCCCTCTTCTACTCCCATCTTCAAGCCGTACATGTCCCATAAGTTGCCATATTCATTTTAGAGTTGATCATTTTCTTCATGATGCTCCTTTTGTTCCAGCACACCCACCTTATTATTGCCAGTATCCCTGAAAACTCTTATTTTTAATGACTTTTCCAATGAAACCTTCCTTGATCTGATTCACAGTAGAATTGTCCACTACTTCTCCTGTGTAGCATCCCAGTACCCTAAGCCATGGTTCTTGTCATCTTGAAGTTCACACTCTAGTTAGGAGCAAAGTCAAAACAAGCAGTTCGAACCTACTGTGATTGGTACTTTATTGGGAGGGACAGGATTGTACAGAGCATGTTAGAAGGACCCTTGACTCAGACTGCCAGAGGAAGTGACTGTTGAGGAGAGATTTAAAGGATGACTAGGTCTTATTTTGGTAGGGGAGAAGAGGTAAAGAAGAGTGATTCTCCAGGAGAGGTTCTGGTGAGTAGAGTGAGAGAGGAGCTGACTGTTCTTTCTCGGTATGGCTGGACTGTAAATTTAGGGTGTGGAATGGAGAAGAGAGCAGGACAGGTACACACAAGGCCTGTGAAACATGTTGCTGAGTTTGGAGCTTATGCTAAATACAGTGTGAAGCCACATAAGTTTCTGAGTAGGAGAGAGACCTGAGAAGATTACACCATAGGAAGACCTCTTTGTAGTAATGAGAAAAGATTAGAAGGGGACCAATGAAAGGGGACCACAAAGAAAGGAGTTGGGGTCACTGCAGTAGTTCAGGAAAGATGAGGGTGGCTTAGAGTAGGTGGTAGTGCAAATAGAAAGAAAAAGATTAATATAGAAATTCTTAGGATGGATAAGAGAATTTGTAAGTGACTGGGTATCTGAGGATGTTGGAGAAGAAGAAACAGGATGCTGCCCAGTGTTCTGACATGGACGGCGATGGTGCCATTGAACAAGAACAGGCATCCCTGGGGAGAGTCAAGCTTTCTCAGGAAGATGAAGATCTCAGTTTTATGTTTGAGGTACCCGTGTGACATGAAGATGGAGAAGGCCACTAGGCAGTCTGAAACCTGGAAGAAAGTCTTACATGTCCATCTCCTTTTAAAGGACTGTAACTTTTTTTTTTTTTTTAATCATGTCTTAGTCATCTTTGAATGCCTTGTTAGCCTTGAAGAACCATTTGAATGAATGAATGGGAATACTCTCTAGGGTGATCGTCTCTAGCCATTCTTTTCCATGTAGAGCTGTATTTGGATCTTTCGCCAATCAAGATTTTCCTATTAGCCTTTTCAGGATTCTTATTATGAGTACTTCTAGCATAGCAGAAGAACCAGAAACAAAAGTACATTCTAAAATATCGGATAAATAAATGTAAGAACGATTTCTCTCCTCAATATGAATACATCTTTTCTGAGCCTGTGCTGGTGGTGGTATCTGCTTTTTTCTCTCTGAGATTCAGGTTGCTTTTACTTTAATGAAGGTCTGACATAAATAGTCAGGTACTATTGTGTGTTATCCATGTTAATGTTCAGATAATGAAAAATTACTATAGTTTTAAAGTCTAAGCAGTTCGGATTTCTGCAAGGTACACTTACCCACATAATGAGAAAATGAATCATGTTTTCCAAAATGGATCCTATAGAATGCCATTTTTCTCCTACATTTACATCCAGTTTGGAGTCAATATGGCATTATCCTTAGGTATTATATAGGAAAAGTGGTAAGGATTCTTGTGCACAATAGTATTGCCTAAAATATATTAAATGTGTTCTTGAATAAATGAAAATTTTGTGGAAAGTCATAGGAACATATACACACACATGCTGTCATATGAGGATGTTGTGGAACCTTGTTGTAATACTGGCTAAGGAAAATCTTTGGAAGAGAGCCACTTGGGAACAGCAGATGTTCTTTTTGGTTTCTTTGGCAGTGAGGGACACTGTGACTCAAGGTTAAAATTTGGGAGCTAAATAATAGAACTGAACTGGGTGTTTTTTTTTCTTCTTCTTTTTTTCTTCCTGTAAGCAATCTCCAAGGTCATGGACTCTGTCTTCAAAAATTCTAGAGATCTGAAGTGATTAAGAATTGAACTTTCTTATGTTTATCATACACCACTAGGGAAGAAATCAAGTGAATCCGAGCTCTGATGAGAAATGCTTGGGTCTCAGTCAAGGTAGTTGCAATCAGAATATAATTCAAGATGCTGGAATAGGAGATCACTGATTTGTGCAAAAAGACAAGTAGGCCCCCCCCCCCCCAAATCACTCTTGATCTTTATTTTTAACTTTGCTTTGCAAATTAAGCCTTTAAAAAGCATCCTTGATTGAGGTGAACCATGCATACTTCTAAGTTACATTTTGCTTAACTCTGTCTCTCCAGTGTAAGTACACTCTGGTGGTACCTGTGCACTTGGAGATCTGTTTGGTTGAAAATACGGAAACAATTTTATAAGACATTATTGTGTAGTGTTGAAGGGTTATAATGATTTTATTGTAGAGATGTTCTAGTCTCCAAAAATGAAATGATACAATTTAAGTGTTTTTTTAAGTGAAAGTTTTTTTTTGCATAGATACCCTCAATTACCATCTCTATGCTGATGACTCCCAAGTATTTCACCCTCTCACTAGATTTCCTTTATGAATTTTAGTTTGAATATCAAAGGTGTTCCTGACAGCAGGAACACTGGGATGTCATGATGATAGCTCTAGTTCTGCAGTTCTTAAACTGAACATGTGCTTTGCCCCTCACATCTGGTCTAGCTCCAGTGTTTCCTACTCAGTGTACAGCATCACCACCTATTAGCAGTTGTACAGTCAGACACCTCAATAGGGTTGTGTCTTTGCCACTGTCCTCTCCTTCATCTCCAATTCATCAGCAAGCCCTGTTGATTGTGTGTGTGTGTGCTTCCAGAATTTATCTCCCTCTATTCACCTCCCCTGAGACCACTCTAATCCAATGGTTCTCAACTAGAGATGATTTTGTCCCCCAGGGGATATTTAGCAATGTATGGAGACATTTTTGTTTGCTACAACTGGGGAGTTGCTACTGGCATCTAGTGGGTAGAAGTCAGGGATGCTGCTAAACATCCTATAGTGCATAAGAAAGCCAGCCCCCACAACAAAGAATTACCCAACCCAAAATGTCAATTGAGCTGAGATTGAGAACTCCTGCTGTGGTCTAAGCCTGCATCTCGGATTACTATTCCTGGATTACCATGATAGCCTTTGAGTTCCTCTTCCTCCGTCTAGTTCTTAAACAATGCAAACCCATCTTCTCTACCCTTCAGGACTTCTCACTATTTTCAGGATAAAGATTATGCTTTCTCAAGATGTTCTGTAAGTCCCTGCAGGGTGGCCACTTATCCAGGTCAACCCTGTTGCTCTCAACTTACTCTCTGATCTGTTGCTGTATTGGCATCTTTTTCAGGTTTGTATGTACCTTGCTCTTCGCACCTATGGGTTTTCACACACACCCTCTGCCTGAAATATTATTCTCCCAGCCTTTACCTAAGTAATTCCTCTTGCTCATTTTTCACTTTGTAACTCAAACATCATTGTACTCAAGTAGCACTTTTTGAACACTACTCTAGGTTAATCTTCTAACAAATTCTCATAGCCCTAGACTTTCTTTTTTGTATTGCTTAGGTTTGTTGCAAACTTGTTTTCCTTTTAAAAATGGAGACACTTAAAACAATAATAGTTAATATTTATTAAACACTGATGCTGGGCACATTTCTAGGGTTCTGTATTTTTCTTTGTCACAGCAATCACATGCTATAGATGTTGTTACTTCATATTGTTACCTTATTTAGTATAGTCTGAGTTACATTTTCCCTAATATCTCTGAAATCTGGTTATGTCTTACTTCACTAGCATTTTAAATTTGGGAGAACAAAGTATTAATCCCATTATACAAATGGAAAAACTGATGCACAGATAGGTTAAGTGGCTTGCCCAAGAGTACATATGTAGCAAGTGATGGTGTCAGGACTCCAGTCCAGGTGGCCTGATGCCTGGACCACACTAATTTCAATCCAGTGCCTTCCTGCATCATAATGCTGCTGTGAAGATTATCGAGATAATCCATGTCAAGCATTTTAGCTCTCTGACATATAGTAAGCACTGAATAAATGTCAGCTATGATTATTATTAGTATCTTTATTATTTCTTTTATTGTGTCTTTATTTAATGCTATCTCTTCCACAGAAGGGAAGATTTCAGGAGGGCAAGGCCTCTGTCTTCTTCTTTTTTTTTTTTTTTTCCTTTTTTGTCTTTTGTCATGACCGGCAACGGATCGCAACCCTCAGTGTCGCGCCCGTACCGGACCGGGACCGGCAACGGGATCGCAACCCTCGGTGTTGCCCCCGCACCTCGCTCAGCCAGTGAGCGGCTGGTCTGTATGTGGGATCCGAACCCTCGGCGGGAGCACCACCACACTTCCCAAGCAGTAGGCCTCTGTCTTATGCTTCTCACTGTATTTGTTTTTTCTTAGCCCTGAGCTGGGTAATAAGTATTTTTTGAATGAATAAATGAATGCTTGAATGAAGGGGGCACTATTAAGGAGAACTGGAGTCCTATCATTTGAAGACACAAATGTTCATCTTGAGTGATTGTCTTTTGCCTCCCTTCCAGCGCTTACCTTGTTCTATGTTGTAACATTTATTTGTGTAATTGTCTTTTATTTCCTTACTAGATTATAAACTCCCTATACATGTGGCATTGCATCCCCACTACCTACCAGAATTTCATTATATGGAAGACGCTCAGTACATATGTTGGACTAATTGACTCTTGAAATCACTCTAGCACTTCCAACTCTCTTCAGGACCCAGTCCTGTCATGGAGGAAGATTATCTCTGGGGATTTCTTTAATATCATAATAAAACTTTTGACATTGAGATGCTGTTATTTCTAAATTATCTTCAAGAAGCTATCAAATGAATTTTCCTCAATATCTTTACAGACTTACTGTGAGTTATGATAAAAACAGTCATCATACTTGATTAAAAAATAGAAATAGGTATTTAAGGGTAATTTTCCTTTTTTGTTTCTGGTATAATCTGTGTTTAAATAAGAATTTGTGGTAATTTTTCATAGAAGGTTTCAGAGGGATGGTTCCTCAATAGCCTTTATTTGCTGGCCTTAAAGATTAAAGTATGAGAAATTCGGGTTTAAATTTGGAGGTTGTTTATCTGAATTACCCTCTGAGTTGTAGAATAATGAATTTATTGCCTTTCCAATTGGCTACGTTTATTGGAAGGCTAAAGAATGACTCTTTTTATGCCAAGGAGAATGTTAGGTCATGGGCCTAAGCAATTTACCTGGCATCTTCCTTTTGAATCTGGTTTTATATCTTTGGCAGCTGAATGCAGAGGATATTGTATTCTGCCAAACGTTCACAGAAAAGAACATTTCTGGCTGAGTGTACTTGTCTTAAGGACAAAGGTGTTTGAATTTCACACTTTATTTTCAGGGACTTGTTCGTACACTATAGGTGAGAGGTTCACAAAATCATGCATTGCGTACTAAGCACTTGGGGATATAGCACGTACTTCACCTTGATTGGGCTCAGAAATTCCATGGTGGCCTTTGTTACCTGGACTATACGAGACCAAGAAGGGAGCACTGAGTGGAGTGGAAATGAATTATTGTTGTGTAGTTTCAGAAATGAAATACCTTGGAACACAAAAGGCAGGATATCTTACTAAGTGCAACAACTTTTTTGACCACTGATCTGACTTTATCTCAGATACTGTGCCTACAAGTTAATACTTTTAGGCCAAAAAAGAAAAAATGGCTGTATGCCACAAGCTAACAGTCTCTGTATTATATTTTTACTTACAGTATGTTTTTGGTAGTTACTTTGTATAAAAGCAATAGCAATATATGGTCTTTTTATATATTCTGTAACATGTCATGCCTGTGTAACATTCATATTCATTACTTTATGGGTCTAAATATTTGGAGGAGTGTTATAAATCCACATATTTCTAAAACACTAGAATTAATGTGTGGAATTATGT